TGTAAGTAATTAACTGGAGAAATGTCTAGCTGATATATTTAAGTGAAACAAATGACCCTATTCACCTGTAGTGTCTCGCCTTAAACAAAACGCTGTAAGGTTTTTCATCCTCGCTTTAAATGAACCACTGTCGTTCAAGAAAACTAATGATGACAACGCCAAGACTGCAGTGCTGTATCTCTCTTCCAGTCATTGTCTGTGCTATATCGCAACCAACATGGTAAACTATTTAGTTGTTGTTGGTTTTCCAGATCAACGTCCGTGTGACCACCATGGATGCAGAGCTGGAGTTTGCCATCCAACCAAATACTAAAGGGAAACAGTTCTTTGACCAGGTGAGCATGACTGACAAATGTCCACAGGTTACTGCTTTCCAAAGTCCTTAAATGATGTACGTCTTGTCCTGACGGTTAACCGTGATGTTCCTGCTTTCAATTCCATCCTCTGTCACCGTAATATCTCTTGTCAACCATTTCCTTTTATAAAAGTACCTGTAAGAATTCAGATGGAAATGTGTGCGATTGTCAGGTGGTGAAGACGGTGGGACTACGGGAGGTCTGGTTCTTCGGCCTGCAGTATGTGGACAGTGAAGGCTACAGCACTTGGCTCAAACTCAACAAGAAGGTCAGTCTTCCTCTGCTTTCATTTGACATTTCAATTTCAATTTTAATGTCTTCTTTATCTGTCTGTCTCCCTTTTCAGTTCCATGTTCCCAATGTTTTATGTGACGGATAACCAAATTCTGCACTCTACTAAAAGTAGAGATGATGTAGGGTTTATGTTCCTGTGGTTAATAGGTGGTTTGATGACGACGCTGATGCTGTTTTGCTTCTGTAGGTACATCAGCAGGATGTGAAGAAGGAGAACCCTCTGCAGTTTAAATTCAGAGCCAAGTTCTTCCCTGAGGACGTCTCTGAGGAGCTAATCCAGGAGATCACACAGAGGTTATTCTTCCTGCAGGTCCTGAGCCAATCCTTAGTCAGGTTTCCATCAGATTGATTGTTTTAAGTAATTAAATTTAAGTACTGAACTTCCTCGTGTTCTGCCAGGTGAAGGAGGCTATTCTGAACGATGAGAACTACTGTCCTCCAGAGACTGCCGTGCTTCTGGCGTCGTACTCTGTCCAGGCCAAGTATGGAGACTATAACAAAGATGTCCACAAGGCTGGGTACCTAACCCACGACAGACTGTTGCCTCAGAGGTACAAGCACACACAATATGTAACATCTTATAAGCTTTAGCTAAATATTTTCATGGAGCAGATTTGTTGAAACCTGGGATTTGTCTCGTTCCCTGTTGGAATTTTGCAATTGTTTCCTCGCTGGAAACAATTGTGTGCTGCTCAACATCCCCTCGGGTGAAGTCATTGTGTTTGTGTTCAGAGTCCTGGAGCAGCACAAGCTTACCAAAGAGCAGTGGGAGGACAGAATACAGACCTGGCATGAAGAACACAGAGGAATGCTCAGGTGTGTGTCTCCACGTTTGGAAAGCTAACTATCTGAATGCACATGTTTAGGCTTGTTGTGTCATGTGAGGCCAAGGTATTGAATTCGGTGCTTTATAAACCAAAAATCGTTATGGATTAGATGATTTCACTGATGTTAAAATGGAAGTGTTCTTCTAAAACATACCCTGTATTTCTTTCTCTCTAGAGAGGACTCTATGATGGAATATCTTAAAATCGCCCAGGACTTGGAGATGTACGGAGTCAACTACTTTGAGATCAAAAACAAAAAGGGCACACAGCTGTGGCTGGGCGTGGATGCCCTTGGCCTCAATATCTACGAACACGAAGACAAGTAAGGGACACACACAGATTTGTCTCGTTTATTTACAAAATAAAGGATGCTTTCTGGGGGGAAATTCAGTCTTATCCTGAGCCTGACCTTTTGCTGTACCCCCCACCCCCACCCCTCCCTTTTTTTGCAAGTTAAACAAAAGTTATAGATTTCTTAAGAACTAAAGTCACCTCCTGCAGACTCCTTCTTCGTGTTTGGCAGAACTTTTGGAAACAAGTCAAATCAGGACAATCAATGGCCCTAGATCCGATACTACCCAATTGCCAATAAATACCATGATGTCAACAAGAGATGCATAATGTCCAACCAGAGGAAACAGAGATATTATTAGTAGGGATGCACCGAATATTCGGCAACCGAAAATTATCGGCCGAAAATGGTTAAAAAGGCCCTTTCGGCTTTCGGCCGAAAAATATCACCGAATGTCAGAGAACAGGGTTACGTTGATCATACTCCGCATATTTGTCCGGGTGTCAAGTAGTAATCCCGAAGTGGTGAAAGTCTTTGCAGTTACACCCCCTCGAGAAATGTCAGCTGAACACGTTTTACAAATCGCAATCCGCGCCTCTCTCTCTGATATTTTGAAATATCTCCAAGCGGCAGACATGTTGGCTGTGAGCCAGCCACGAGCATGGTCGCGCGCCGTGCTTGTCGCCGCGTTTTGATTACGTCATCACAACAACACGTTAGCTTACCAAACTTATCGGTGCATTTGTTGTTGTTGAAGGCCTGGCTGTTACAGTCTTTATTTACACTATTTTGTTGTAGGCCTACTGGCCTAGATGTTTATGCAGTTTTAAAGCACCTTGGCTTTGTTCTGAATGCACTTTGTTGGAGTTATCCTACAGAGAAAAGAAAATGCACTTGACTTGGAATTAATGTACTGTATGCATTCAAAAGTGCTGAATAAATGTTTTATGGACCCATAATAGTGATTATTATTTAAGTTAAGTTTGGCCATAATCATGTCTTTTTCCATAATCAGGTAGCTGAACAACATTGGTAAAAAATGTACACTATATATATATATATTTCTGTTAATAATTTTCGGCATTCGGTTTACGGCCAACTGTTT